CGGGCGCTTGCTGTTAGCATTCGGGTCACATTCCGAGGACTTCGCTTCTCATCGAGAGAAAATCCAGGAAGAATTTTGGCTGATTAATGTATCATTTAGAAAAACTCTATTTAGCGCAATTTCTCCATGCGATGGAAACACAGACACAGACTTAACACGGAGCACAGACTACTTTTGAATTTGTCGTGCTACTGCGCTTTAGGTTCGTACTGTCCTTTTCTACTGTGCAGTTCGGTGTTGCACGTGTAATAGTTCAGTACTCCAGAAAACTGGCAAATTCGTTTTTGTTTCAACGGTTACTTAAATAAAAATGCGATAATTCAAAAAAATAGCAACAAACCATGAAAATAATGCTGTTTTTCAGTATCGCTATTTTGGTATAAGTTAGAAGTCCATTTGAGAATTTTTTCTCTTAATTTATGACTCATTTGAAGAATAACGGAGGGAACTTTCAGTTTGTTCATTTTTTAGAGGGAGAGAAGGAAGGGAACAAGAAAAGCGAGAAAGCGAAAAGTTAGGCTAACGACGATGCAGAGCTGCAATATGAATGGTATATCGTGATAAAGTGAATTACTTTTCTCGATGCTTCCACACGCGACACATGTTCGTGGGCAGTTTTTCTTAACAAACGGCGACTTCAAGCATTCGCTGCCGTCATGCGCAACAATATCAAAACACTGTCGATCCAGATCCTTGCACGTATCCACTGCAATCTTGACCATGAGGAGTGGTGGGGATGGCACTTTTCACATCCACACAGAAAATGATTCAAACATAAGCCTTCAGTTCGAGCATCACTTTTTCTAGAATTTTACTGATGGCTCAATTTCAATAATTCAAGGAAGGACATCGATGGCAAAATCAGCTACACAGCTATCTTATCGAAGAAGCCCACTAGACAATCTACTTCCCTACATCACTTACTATTTTTGCTCTGTAGTTCTGCGAGCGAGATGGTTTGACCGCAGTACTTAGCAAAAGAAGATGCATCAGCCTGCGACTATCAGATTTTACAACTGGCTGACATTTTGTATCGTAAGCACACTCACAAAAAAGAGAATGATCACTAAAATGAATTTTGAAGTGGAGTGCATACGAAGTAAAAGAACTGGCACATCTACGTTTCGTTTTTGTAACACGGAGAGACTCCATACGGACAGTCCTGGCGATTCTGGTGGCATTGGCGAAAAATCACTAAATAGTGAAAAATTTTAAGCAATACGTCTAACAGCATAAGTAGCGAAGCACCAAGCTTGCCAGAATGGTCATGCTTTTTTGCGCTAAACATGAAGCATTTAGTCCGCTAACAGCACGAATGAATGCTGTGTTGCAGTATAACATGTGGACTCATGTTTACTGCACGTTTGCTGCATTGTAGCACGACACATTTTGGCCTTTACTTGCATGAAAGATAATAGAAAGGACGCCGGCTGGGGCGGTAGTTTTGCATTATAGGGCCGCATGAAATCTTAACCCCCAGCACGTATGATTACCGTGTTCGGTCGCTCGTAATGAACAGGATTTCGGAAGAGAAAGATGACGAAATCCGCAAAATGCACTAGCTCTTAGAATTGCGATAAAATTGGATATCTGTTATGTCCACGTGCAAAGAATTCGCCTCCAAGCTAGTTTTAAATCACACGTAAATATAGAATATCCTTGCAAAGTTTCAGCTTTACATTTTGATAGGTAAGTGAAATCACACAAGTCGTGGCCCAAGTGCAATCCGGAACTCCATGTGCGTATACGAGTCTTCAATTGGCCGATAAATATTCTGACAAAATTTCATCTGTCCTTTTGCAGCTAGTTTTTGTGTTGGCATAGTGCGTTAGCACACTAAGAGCACTGTTGGCGAGAAAGAATGCAAGCTGCCATGCGAATTATTGTTAATGTTAAGAATCTGAATTCGCCGAGGAAAGTAAGTGTAAAACAAACCAGGTGTTTTGGTTCTGGCAACGATGAGTGACGTGAACGTGCCAGTTAGGAGCAGGCAGTAGAAGAGAAACATATTGCTATACGTCGCATAAATACAGCAGCATACTGGGCGCTGGAGGCCGAGTATCTGTGCAAATTCTGGAAAACGGCTCTTTTCCGACTGCGTCAAATATTCACAGAATTCGAATCAGTTCGTAGTAACTTTCACCAAATATTTTGGAACAGTATGTACTTGGACCTGTATGTGTCAGCGTAAGAGGCACGAAATTGTCCGCACTGCAAAATGATCGGTATGAAAAAGCTTTTTTTTAAATGAAGAGAAAAAGGAGACCGCAGTAGAATCAATAAGCGGTGTGTTTGGGGAAGTACTGCGTGACGTCGCTCACTGATGCACCAAAAAAGCCAGTTTCTGGATTTCGCAAAAATTTTCTTTAAGTTAGAGAAACAAATTATGCCTGATTCGTTAACAGTTTTGGAAAAGCATTCTCTCAAGTAAATCGGCTCCTTGCTGCTATCCTCCAGTGGCAAGAAAAAGCCACTGCATTGTCCTCCCTCACACGTTTGTCACTCGCTCCGTTCTTCCAACCGCTTCTTCTTTGGCCATCAGTGAATTACTCATGGACAATGAAAGAAGTCCGGTGCGATTTCCACAATTAAAGGTGCATTGGTAAGTCATCGTTTTAAGCGAATACTGCGTCACTATTGAACCAGTCCGCCACCTCCTTCTAATCAGAAGTCGGCGATCGTCACAAATTCCTGAGACATTTCTTACGCCCAGCTCCTCTGCACAGCTACTCAATGCAAAAAGTTCTTTGAAGCGGAAGGTACCGACAGAGCCAGAATTTGCAAACTGCAGCAGCTTTAAAAGGCATTTGCAAAAGTGGGTTTCAAAAACCCTCAGCAGCTTATTGAGTGGTATCCGCAGCGGGTCTAAAGCGTAGGTGGTTTCCAAAACTAGTTATTTAAGGACTGTTGAAACTGGCCCACTGCTTCCAAAAATTTACGTAGCTGATGTTCCTTGCCGCAGCAAGTAAGTCATAATGCAAAAAAAGACAAAAATTTTGCACAATAAGAAGCAAAACAAAGAAGGCAAGATGAGCAGTTAAAGGCCGAATGGGAAGAAGCTTGCAAAATTGAAATGGCGGCACATGCGTGCAGGCCCGACGGTTACCACTAGTACTACATACAGATCCATACCTAGCTAGCAGTCACCTCCTTTGGTAAATACCACGTTAATGCGCAAAAGTGGTAACGTTCGAAACAACGTACGTGATGCTTAACACACACTTCAGTGATATCTCGGATAGCTAAACTCGCGCTTCTGCTAGGAGAACCGCTGAGCTGGTAAACTGTTTAGGAAATAAAACGAATGTCAGAGCCGTCCATAAGCTGACCATCAGGTGATGCAGCACTGGTCAAAGGAAGTGAAGTTGCCAGATACATAGTTTGAGAAGCAGATTTTGAACTCCATCTGATTCAGCTATTTCGTTCAGTAAGCAATCGCATCGGCACATGCATACGCATAAAACCAATAACACAAAACTGTTGTTGGAGAAACGAAGGATTTAATCGAAAAATTAAAAAATAGAGCTGCGACACGAGAATCCGCTGGACAGTGGTTGGATGAACCAGAACGGATTTGGGAATATGAGAGGGCTCGCGCTACCCTAACAAATGATCCCGCTGAGAAACTTGTTCTGCGCCTCTTCATGCTTTCATCAGCTCTGAACACACATAGAACATGTCTTTGGCACAATTTTCTCTTAAATTTCAGTCGCTTGCAGTGTCACATTCTTCGCCCCGTTCGATTTTGGAACTAAGCTGACCACTAGAGTGGACACATGTGGATGATATGTAGCACAGTGCTTTAGCTGCCTTCGCCTTCCAAGTTTTATTTCTACTGTGTAGCTGAGGGAACTGTTAATGTTACCAGAAACAACGTATTCATCGAAGAGCAAAAAATACGCTACTTCTAGTGTTATCATTCTTTGTATTGATCACTCTTCTAATTGGAGGTGTGCAGCCCAGGATCGAAGGGCCTGGTGCAGCTTAGCCAGCGTGTATGGGCATGCCAATAACATCGCTAAAATGGGATGCCCACGCTAATTACTTACATTCTTGGCATAATTTCATAAAAAAGTTGCAACGATCCAGAGAAGCAATAAAAGTAACGTGAGATCACGATGCTGCTCTGTGTTCTTCAGTGGAACTGAGGCGCTGAGCATTCCAAATGCCAGTGATGGCTCTTGAGCAGCGAATGAAGATGCGCTTTGCGGAATCTAAATATGCGGTGAGAAATGGCGTGAGGGTTGAAGGTTGGGTCAAGATTGAAAGAAGCTTCGGGTGAGTGAGGAATGGCAGTAGTGATAGGCGGCACGATGTAAAACGACATAAGTAAGTAATGTTGTCTGTCGGTACTGCTCTGCGCTGCTCCATCAGCGCTATCAAACAAGTTTAAAAATTCGCGTCCCCTGCCGCCACATCAATTGCCACAAAAGCGCACTTTTTACAATGCCATTCATTCTTCCAGGAAACCACGCATTTTGCTGTTAATTAATCAACATTTTCATTATTTTCGACACACACACATGCACACACATACACATACATACACATACATACACATACGTTCACGCACATACACACAACTTTTTGAAAACAAAACATGGAATACATTTTAATAAGCCTCCTAACTTGCCGCTTGTTCAGTCTCAAATGCTACACAGTACTTAATGAAATTATCTCGGAAAACATTCAAAATGTCTTATATAAAAGGCAGTATTCCAGCCGAGGGCAAATTTTCATGCTGGCGAGCAGACTGCGAAATTAGACTCCGTTGATACTTCTTGTAATTTTATTCCGTGTAGTTATGAGCGGGAAATTTCTCGGCTTGAGAGCCAGACGGAACAGAAAGATGTAATTTCAGTAGCCTATTTCAGCCTATGCGTGACCCTGGAAATTTGAACTTAGCTTTCGTCCATGCCTATGTCTTACCTACAAATGTTCGAAAGTTCAAGCGGGAAGTTAATAACGTTTTTCCAGCTCCGCTGAGTAAAACTACGCAAAACGTATGACCGCACCGACGAGTATTTTTTATTTGAGATTGGAGAAGCTGCTCTCGTCGCATCGATCACGGGACGTGCACATCAACTGTCATTTAATTTTTCAAGCAAATGTTTGTACTAGCAAATTTTACTGTTGTCGCTAGAAGCCGAGAATTTTTTCGTGATTTTTATTGGCTTTTCTGGATGAAATAAGTGATAGAAATATTAGTTATGACACATATGTTTAAAAAAAAATATATATATATACATTAAAAATTTACAAGAGAAGGAATGTTCCGGTCCATTAATTCATACACACTCCTTTTCAGCACTGCAACTGGACCTCGTCAATACGATAACCGTGGTGATGGTAAAAGTAATATATAAAAATGAAATTTTTTAAACTGGGTTATAAAATTTGTGGCGAGATAGTTTATAATTTGAAAATATAAGAAGGAGATAAATTTAAAAAATAATAAAAAAGAAGGGAGTAAAGATATATAATTATTGGGTCACTAAATATGAAACGTTCGATTTCGAATCGAAAATTTCTTTTGTTGTATCTCAAAAAAGAAGCAGTGCAATTAATCCAAATATGCGCCTAAGCTATCGACACAGTTCTGTCATCTTAACGGTAACTTTTTTATGCCCCAGCAGCGAAAAAGCCTGGAGGGCGAGAGGCGATGAAATCGCTAAAAGCTTAAATGACTCATTGACGAGAGCTGCAGTCCTTTGTGCTGGCGGAAGTTGTGGCTGACCGATAATTTGGCATTCGGACGGTAATTTAACATTTTGTCAGTGAATAGATTTTCTGTAGGATTGAAACTGTAAAATTTTTGCTCGTCGAACATGGTCCTACCGTACTCTCAGCGCCGGCCAGCCGAGCTATCCCAGTTGGGCACTGTAGCAGCCTGCAAATTCACCGCTGTACACGGAAATGCCGTTCTGTGTTGTAAACGTGAGGGAGGATGAGGGCTTTGACGTAGTCGTTAAATGTACGCTGTTACTTCGTTACTCTGAAAAACAGCTGTCTCTTCGTCGTATTTCTTCTTGCCATCGATGCAGCTGGAGGCATTTTCGTTTACTATGCGGTTCTAAGCTCGCCGCTCATTTAGACGGCTAGATGGCCCTACAGTTCTTTACTTCTAATTTCTGTCAGAAAGTAGTACAGCTGCTGCTTTTTCGACGCTTTGGAGAATCATTTGGCCTCGCCAGTAAGCGGGAAGCAGGTGGGGGGGGGGG